GTGTAGGCGGCCCTCTTTACAGAAACCTGACCAATGGAACCCAAGTCCAGTGTGGCCATACCACGTGCTACGGAAAGATTTCTGTGAGGAGAAAATAAGTGATGGCCATTCCCCCATCCTTCCTCATCTCCAGGGTGGGTGAGAATTTAGAAAAGAGTGGAAGCCGCGTCTCAATGAGTCTGTCACAGAGCCCATAACCCTGAGCTCTATAGTGCCTGGCTCTGCAGAACACTGGGCGGCCGTGGCGAAGAAGACAAGTGCTCCAAGGGCAGGAAGGTCACGGATGCCTGCCCTCCTGGCAGCTTGTTGGCCTTCGCCCGCACAGCGACTGTGATCTGACTCGATACACGCAACACGCACTGCGTTATATTTCACTGTTAGCCACTGCGCCACTCGGGCCAACCTGGACGTGTTGAAGACCTCTCTGTCCACCTAAGTCCTCTCTACTTTCCATGTTGGTCGAGGTGACTCAGCACTTTTGAAAAAAGTTGGCGGCGTCTACAGAATGAAATAAATGACACATCCGACCCACACTGGCTCATTTCACCCTTTAATCATATTTGAAGGGACGTTTTAATTAGCAAGGACAGCTCTTACTTATTTGCTTGTTGTTTAAAAATACTTTTAAACTGAAGTTTTTGAAGAGGGGAACCATGTGACTAGTTCAAAAAATCAGAAAGTATAACAGTCTGGATAGTAGAAATCTCCTTGCTGAGCCCTGTTCCCCAGTCCCCAAGTCCCCCTCCCCACAAACAACTGCTGTTACCAACTTCTTGAACATTCTTTCAGAAGTACTTTAAACCTATTTATGCCAACGCTTTCAAGCATATTAGCTAGTGCATTCACAACGTCTTCTCCTACAGATGGGACCCCAGGCAAAATCAATGGAGTGGGGCTAGCAGTAGCTAAAATACCTGGTAACCACAGCACGCAGATCCTCTGTAGTCTTTTAATTTATGACAGTACACACACACACACACACAAAGGCAAGAAGCCAGGCCGGTGTGGCTTAGTGGTTGAGCACTGACCCATGAACCAGGAGGTCACAGTTGGATTCCTGGTGGTGCCCAGGTTGCGGGCTCCATCTCCAGTAGGGGGCTTGCAGGAGGCAGCCGATTAATGATTCTCTCTCATCATTGATGTTTCTAACTCTCTTTTTCTCTCTCTGATATCAATAAAAAAATTTTAAAAAACAAGAAAGAATATATAAGAGCCAAAATTAAACTATTATAAGGAAAAAGAGCTTGTTTATGTAAAGATATTAAAGAAATGACATTAAAGATAACAATTGCTCGCTATCCATAAAATAGCACTCAAATAACAAAGACACTTCAGTGCTACCAGGAGCTAGGGGAATGCTTACTAGTACATTTCCCATGTATGTGAGGTTTCTTATCTATTTCTTACTCAATACTTCAAGCACCAAAACTAGATCATTAAGAAAAGAAGGGCAGGTGTCAGGATAATAACTGGAAATCGAACTTTAATTCATAAACTAGTAATTATAATAAAATCTGGGAATCTAACTTTAATTCATGAACTAATAGTTAGCCCTCCTCTCCAATAATGCGATAATGTGATAAAGTTATGAGGATGTGTGTGTGGCTTTGAAGTTGTCGTTTTGTGACATGAGTGACGTCCATGTGGCTGCTGGCACGTACCTCAAGCACGGCCGATCCGATGGCACAGGCCATGGGGTTCCCTCCGAAAGTATTGAAGTGCAGGACACATTTAGCCAAAGACTTGGCAATCTCTAGGAGGAGAAGGTAAAGGTAGGTGAAAGGGGACACCTTCCCATCTATAACCTCCCATCACAACATTTGGGGGACGTTGTAAGTGACATCATATCCAATTCACCCTCACTCACCAGATAGCAGATGCTACGGATGGAGTTGTGGCCCCACCTAAGTCCCTATGTTGAATCCCTAACTACATGGCTGTTATTGTCGGTAGGGCCTTTAGGAAGGTCGTTAAGGTTAAATGAGGTCAAAAGAGTAGGTCCTAATCCCACAGGACTGGTGTCCTCAAAAGAAGAGACAACAGAGCTCTCTCGCCCTCTGTCAAGGACATGTGAGGACGGAGCAAGAAGGCAGCCATCTGCGAGAGAGGTCTCACCAGAAACTAATTCCGCTGGCGCCTTGACCTGGGACCACGAGTCTTAGCACCGGGAGAGAGAAATGCCTGCTGGTTAACCTGCTCCCAGTGGTATCTTGTTCTGGTATCCCGGGCTGACAATACGGCGCACAAGGAGTCATAGCTGGTTTACTCACTGGGGAGTTGGCTAACAAAGACTTGAATGTGCCCTATGAACTGAGAAGTACCTTAAATCTTGATTTGTGAAATTTAACTCGGAACCTTCATTAATAAAACCTTTTTTTCCTGTCTTTCACTTTTGGGATTAAGGAGGAAAAAAAAATTCCTCACATCAAGGATTTAGTAATATAGTTTTTGGATTGTTTCAGGGTGAGTATATATTCAGCTCATTATACTTGACCTTCTACCAGTACATCCATATTTTTGTACCTTAAGTCATTTAATAAAAATACCCAACTAGCCTTCAGTGCCTCATGTGGGGAAGACAAATGAAATAATTTTAGGAATTTCATAAAATTGTTTCCTGTCAGACCTCATTAAAATGCAGAATTCAGTTAATGTTCATGTTCTGGCTAAGTGAGCATGTGCCATATTTAGCTGTTTGGTAGATGAGACATCCACAGACATCTAATGCTCTGGACCTTGAGTCTATAGCTTCTTAATGTGGCGAGACCAAGTTAGAGTTTCCTTCCAGAATGTGAGCACTTGGGAAATTCCAGGATTGGTTTCAGGCTGGTTAACAAGGATCTCTTGGGCTGGTGGCACATTTCCCTATTCCTTGGCAGTGTGTCTGAACCCTGCATTTCATGGTAGAGGCGGGAGAATTAGTCCGCCCTGCAGCAAGGGCGAAGGGGCCGCTTGCTTTCATCCGGCCACGATCTGGCAGGCAGATTGTTCTTTTTTTTTGTTTTTTTCATTGCTTGGGAAATGCATGTGAGTTCCCCTAACCGTCTCCAACCATACACATTCCAATGCGAGTTCCTTCTCCAATTGCTGATGCAGGAGGCCCGGCAGCAGCCACACACTGCGCGGAGGTCCTACCTGGCGTTGTCACAACTGCTGCCATGGGAAAGCCATTCCCAATCCCTTTGGCCATGGTGACGATGTCTGGCAGGACGCCGTGGGTTTGGAAGCCCCAGAAGTGAGAGCCCAACCTTCCAAATCCCGTCTGCACCTGAAGGAAGCAAATCCAAATCATTGGGAAGCTTTCAGGAAACGCTGGTGTTTCTGACTCTGACATCTTCACTTTCCTTCCCCTCCCCCTGCCCCT